AGAGAGAGAGAGAGAGAGACAGCGTGAGCAGGGGAGGGTCAGAGAGAGAGGGAGTCACAGACTGAAACAGGCTCCAGGCTCTGAGCTGGCAGTCAGCACAGAGCCCGACGCGGGGCTCGAACCCACGAACCGCGAGATCGTGACCTAAGCGAAAGTCGGACGCTCAACCGACTAAGCCCCCCAGGCGCCCCAAGACTGTCTTTTTGAATGTAATGTTGGGAGATTGCACCCCCACCTTACAGAGACATGTGTGCTGATGGGTGGCCCCTCAGGCACCTCCTTTCTGTCCCTTAGGTCTCTGGTGCACGTACGCAGTACAGATCCCGTCTTTCCTCCTGAACACAGATGAGTGTGGCCTCGGAGCCCTGCTCCCGCTCACACACACACCCGGCCACACCTCAGTGCTCCTGCCGCGTACACACAGGAAGGGCTCCCCCACCCTGCAGCGTGCAGAATGCGCATTAATGTGCCCAAGTCTATCTAACCATGCTTTTTATCTGTACATGTTGAGATTTTGTCTAATCTTCAACATCGCAAATGACATTGCAGTGACCAGTCGCACATGTGTGCCATTTCAAAGAAAAGAGGAATGATTGCCTCAAATGTTGGGAGCATTTGTAATTTTTTTTTTTTTTTTTTTACTTTTTGAGAGAGAGTAAGCAGGGAGAGGGGCAGAGAAAGAGGGGGGCTGAGGATCCAAAGTGGACTCTGAGCTGACGGGCTGATAGCAGCGAGCCCGATGTGGGGCTTGAAATCACAAACCGTGAGATCGTGACCTGAGCCATAGTCAAATGTTTAATGGACTGAGCCACCCAGGTGCCCCTGGTGCATTTGCAATATGATGGTTGTTACTAAGTTGCTCCCAAAAAGAGCTGGCTGGTTTCCAGTCCCCAGAGCAGCGCCCTTATTAGTTATTAGGTCCAACCATGAGAAAGGTCCAGTGTTTGCCATATTGTACCAAGAAGGACACTCTCGTGGCTCAACCTAACATGGGGCTTGTGTGAGCACTTTCAGTAATTACGAAAGTTAGCCCTTTTTACATGATAAAAGCTGCCATAGATCTTTTTGTCAGATTGCCCTTTGTGTTTGGGCATTGCTTATAGTTGTGTTTGCTTCCCAAGCAGAAATTTTAATTTCTATCAAGTATACTTTATCTTTTCTTTTATGGTTTCTGAGTTTTAGCTCACAGAAAGAAATCCCTTCCCTAATCTGAATTTATAACATAATTCTCTCGTGGCAGTTCCGGTGTTTGTAGGATTCCGTTCTGTGCATTTGAATACGTAGTACAGAGGAACGTGCATTCTGGCACTGAGCTGAGGTGGGGATTTCATTGTACTTTCCTCTGCGTGGTCACCCTGGGAGTGCTCACCCTGCCCCCAGGGGTCGGGAGTGCGGCAGCCTCCGCCGGCCACCCCCGCCCTCTTTCCCCACCCCACCCTCTGGAGCCACCATTATGTTCTCCCTCCAGGTAGGCTCATCTTTTCTTTTTTCTTTTTTTTTAATTTTTTTTTATGTTTTATTTATTTCTGAGAGCATGAGCAGGGGAGGGTCAGAGAGAGAGGGAGATACAGAGTCCGAAACAGGCTTCAGTCTCTGAGCCAGCTGTCAGCACAGAGCCCCACGCAGGGCTCGAACCCACGAACCGTGAGATCGTGACCTGAGCCGAAGTCGGACGCTCAACCGACTGAGCCACCCAGGCACCCCTGTTCCTCATCTTTTCTAAAGTCATTCTGGTTCTTGTCACTCGTCCATTTGTCCACGTGGACTTTGGACTCACGCTGGGTCACGTAAAAACATCTTGTTGGCAGTGCTGCTTGAATCCTGTCCTATTCCTGAACTGCTGTCTGCAGCATGTTGATACTCAGGAGCCTCCACCTTCACGAGAACACCTTTCTCTCCACTAGTCTTCCTTGTGCCTTTAGAGGAACATGTAAAAAGGTCTTCACGTGGAAAGCACACGTTTGTCGGAAGAGATTATATTTTCTGCATGGTGGCCAATGAGGCCTTTGCTTTTGTGTTCCCTTCAGGTTGGTTGGTATCAGGTGTGGAGAAGCTGCTGGTGCTCACTATTAATTTTGTACCTTCTATCGCTCTGAGTTATCACGTTGCAAACATTTACCAGAAGCGTATTCCTCAGTGTGTCAGTCACGTGAACATTATTTACAAGTAGTGACATGCGAGCCCCGTACCCCCGTGCTGACACCTGTCCCTCCCTATCCTGCTTACTCACCTTGGCTGGGACTTCCTTCCTGAAGGCGGGGGCAGGGGAGGCTATGGGAGAGGATGTCGGCATCTTTGTCTAGAGACGCTTAGTGTTGCGCGTTAAAGTGGGGACTAGACTTGGGGCCGATGTAACTTACCAAATGTTAAGGAAGTTTTCATCTTTCTCCTCTTTCATCAAGGACACCTTAAGTTTTTTAATTTCAATTTCCAGCTAGGAATTGAATGCCCCTGTTATCTTAGTCTCAGGGTGTACAACCTAGTGATTTAACACGTCCATGCTTCAGCAGTGCTCCCTCAGCATGACAGGTGCTCCCTTCACCCCCATCCCGTTTCCCCCGCCCTCCTCCCCTCTGGTGACCGTCAGTGTGTCCTCTGTAGTTAAGAGTGTTTCTTGGTTTGCCCCCCCCCCCCCTGTTTTTCTCCTGCTTATTCGTTTTGTTTCTTGAATTCTACACATAAGTGAAATCAGTTGGTCTTTCTCTGACTGGCTATTTTGCTTAGCAGAACACTCTCTAGTTCCATCCACATCATTGCAGATTGCAAGATTTCGTTCTTTTTTGTGGCTGAGAAACATCCCATTGTATACATATATACCACATCTGTTTGTTCATCTGTTGATGACGCTTTGTTGCTTCCATAGTTTGGCTGTTGTGAACAGCGCTGCAATAAACATAGGGGTGCATGTATCCCTTTGAATTCGTGTTCTTGTATTCTTTGGGTAAATACCTAGCAGTGCAAATGCTCGATCATAGTGTAGTTCTATTTATAATTTTTTGAAGACCCTCCATACCGTTTTCCACAATGGCCGGACCAGTTTGCATTCCCACCAACCGTGCAAGAAGGTTCCTATCAAGGACTTTTTTAAATATCAGGAGCCATGGGGCACCTGTCTGGCCCACTGGGTGGAGCATGTGAGTCTTGATCATGGGGTCATGGGTTCAAGCCTCATGTTGGGCCTAGAACCTATTTTTAAAAATAAGGTAAAATCAAGAGTCATCCAGTGTGTGAAATCCTTTTCAGTATCTGTGGAGCTGCTCTCATGATTTTTTCCCTGCCTCTTTAGAGCTATAGATATTAACCAGTCCCTCAATACTGAACCACCCTGGAATTCCTCGGAGGGAAAACACTCTGGATTTTGGTGTACCGTTCTTTGTGCTGCTGAATTCAGTTTCCTCATATTTTATTTATGTTTTTTCCCTTGGTGTAATCACACATGGAACTGGCATGTAGTCACTAAATTTTGTGCAGTAGTTTTAGATTTGGAGTTTCCGTGTTTATGTGAAGATTTTCTTCATTTTTTGTTAGTCTTGAAACGGTTTCAGTAGTATTGGAAATAATTATTCTGTTTTGGGGAATTTGCTGATAACTCTCTGAGACTGATACATATACACACATACAGATTTTAATCGCCTCTGTTTCTTCTATGACGTGTTCTTCTGTTTTATCTGTGGAAAGTCATCTGTTGACATGTTCCTCTTTTTCTTTGTTTTAAATTTTAAAGTAATCTCTGCGCCCAGCGTGGGGCTCAAACTCACAACCCTGAGATCAAGTGTCATATGCTCCGCTGACTGAGTCAGCCAGGTGCCCCACCACAACCTTTTTTTTTTTTTTTTTTTTTTAAGATTTTATTTTGGGGCACCTGGTAGGCTAAGTCAGTTGAGCATCCGACTCTTGATTTCAGCTTGCGTTGTGATCTCATGGTTCATGGGATCGAGCCCCATGTTGGGCTCTGCACTGACAGCATGGAACCTGCTTGGGATTCTCTCTCTCCCCTCTCTCTGCCTCTCTCTCCCCCTCAGGATAAATAGATAAACTTAAAAAAAATAAATAAAAGTTTATTTTTACTGTTGGCATTTTCTACTTCTGTTGCAGTTAGTTTTTTTAAGTTACATTTTCTTGGAAAAGCATCCACTGAGTCACAGTTGTCATGTGCATTTGCGCCAAGTGAGCTAAGTGGGCACCAGCGGCTCCTTACGTGTCATCGGTGTTTGTGGGTGTTTCCTCCTGCCGCCTCTTGTTTCTGGGTTATGCTTCCTCCTCGTTGTCCTTGATTGGGTTGGGTGCCTTTTCATTGGTCTATGTAAAGAACCTTCTTTGAATTTCATTAATTACATTCTTCCCCTACATTTATTAATATCTGCTTTGTTTTAGAAATGTTTTTATCATTTATTTTTGAGAAAGAATGCAAGTCAGGGAGGGACAGAGAGAGAGGGTGGGGGAGAGGGAACAGAGGATCTGAGCTGACAGCAGGGAGCCCAAAGTGGGGCTCAAACTTCCAAATGGGGAGATCATGACCTGATTTGAAGTCAGATGTTCAACCGAGTCATGCAGGTGCCCCAGAAAAGATTAAACAAATATATATTTATTCATTTAGAGAGAGACAACGTGAGTAGGGAAGGGACACAGAGAGGGAGAGAAAATCCCAAGCAGGCTCCGAGCAGTCAGCATAGAGCCCAATATGTGGCTTGAACTCATGAACTCTGAGACCATGACCTGAGCTGACAGCAGGGGCCGGATGTTCAACTGACTGAGCCCCCAGGGCTCCCCATCTTAACTTTTGTAGTGTGCTTTCTGTGCTCAGTGGTGTCCTTTCCGCATGCCAGCCAGCTCCGCTCTGCCCACCCCCTCACTTCATAAAAGGGCAGTGTGTGCGCACGTGTGTGCTCATGTGTGGTTGTCTTTGCTTGTGATACACACAACCACCGTATTCTTGAGCCGAGCGGTGGGTGACCAGGCTCTGTTTCCATCCCTGTGAATATGTACCACAGCAGAATTCCTGGGTTCCAGGGCAAAATAAAAATGCAGCGCCCTTTGTTAATGAAAATTATTAAGACTTTAGCCACAGCGGGGCATAAAGCCCATGCAGGGGACTGTGGAGGGCCCCATGCCCACAACCTGGCCCGCCTGTGGAGTGTCCCGTGCCCACGACGTGGCCGTCCCGTGGAGTGTCCTGTGACCACCACGTGGCCCTCCTGTGGAGTGTCTTCTGCCCACCCCGTGACCCTCCTGCAAGAGCGAGTCCCCTCTGCTGTGCCCAGCGTTATCACTCATCATGGTCCATCCACGGAGGTTCGATGTTGCACATACTTTTAATAGTTCATCAAGTGGTCGTTCTTGCTCCTTTTTCCAGAAGGAGTCTATATGCTCAAGGCCGTTACTCACAGTGAGTTCCGTGGAGCTGGAAAGGAGCTTGGCCCCTATTATGTGGAAATCGGCCATGCAACCGTGTCCGTGTCCGTGAACTCCAGCAGCATCCACAAGGATGGGCTTCTTGTCCTCACGGGCTCCTGCACGGATCAGAAAGGTAAGAACTGCACCCGGGGTTGAACCGCTGGCCCTCGGCTCTGGACGTGGTGATCTGAGGGCACGTCCACAGTCCTCGTCTCAGGACTCACGGTGTAGCAGAGGCGTCGAGGCCTGCGCCTGAAAAACACCGTGGCACATGGGGCCGCCTCTCGAAGGGCACGGCCAGGGCCTGGGGGGTTTTGGGAAGGATTGTGCACAACCACGGGGTGGGCAGTCCACGATGGCCTTGGGCGGCCGTGGGTGACAGGCGCGGGGAGAGCATGTGGGGCCGCAGCTTGGCAGTGAGTCCGAGCAGGGGTGACGGCGCTGCAGGTGGCTGAGCCCTCACGGGGCGCCGCTGCCCTCCCGCTTCACTCACGCCAGGCCCTGAGGCCACCGGCGAGGGGCTCCCTTCTGCTCAGCATCGTGGGGGACCCGGCTTGGGGGCTGAGGGGCGGGATGGGAGAATCCCAGCCAAATATCAGCTCCGCGTGAGAGGCGGGTCGTGGGCGAGCGTGGTACCCGTCGACGGTAATCCCAGAGCGCGCAGCCTCAGTGGGTGGATTATGGGCTGTGTTTCCTGGGAGCGGGATGGGGAGAGGTCAGGAAGGTGTGTGCACATGATGCCCACGGGGTTTACACGTTGACCGCACGTCCTCATACACTCAGCCCCATGAGAGCCTCTCTGTCCAGGACATCACAGAACATAGGGAGGAGGGCTGCGGGCCTGTGCCCTTCGGGTCTGCTCGGGGACTTAGGAGCGGGAGGCCTGGCCCCAGTGGGCCGCCAGGTGGTCTGCAAATCCGTGCATCGTGGGTCGTGGTTTCTCTTCCCGGCTGGCGACTGCGTCCCAGCTGGAATGGAGTTGTGGGCACTGTCGGTGCAATGCTGTCACTCTTCAGTGTGAGAGATTTGTTTTTCAGAAGTCCTAAAGCATTGGGGTGCCTGGGGGGCTCAGTCGGTTAAGCGTCGACGTTGGGGCCTCAGGTTGTGATCTCCCGGTTTGTGAGTTCCAGCCCCGTGTGAGGCTCGCTGCTGTCAGTGCCGAGCCGGCTTCAGATCCTCTGTCTCCCTCTCTCTCGGCGCCTCCCCTGCTCGCACTCTCTCTCAACCATAAGTAAACATTAAAAAATATTCTAAAGCGTTGATGAAGAAAAAAATACCCCCTCCATATTACCGTTGTCATAAAAGAGGATTTTCTCTCTGTGAAGGGAAGAGCCGCACCGAACACCTGTCCCATTAGATCGACGGGTTGTTCTAAATGTGCCCGGACGTGACGGCCCCACTCTGGACCCTGACACCATGTTGGGTGCCTGCCCTCGCCGTACATGCACACACACGTGTGTACGTACATATCATGTATGTGCAGCCCTTTGCGTTGCGTGTCTGAGGGGTTAAAAGCCTGGGTCCCTCCCTGACCCTGTTAGGAACCCTCATGAAGTAAGATAAGACACTCCTTAGTGCGCACTGGGAAGGCCCTTTAAAGACGAGGCCGTCCAGCAAAGGAATGAACGCCTTGACTGCCACGCCAGGCAGTTCCTGGGGGCGAAGAGAAACACCTGGGATTCCAGCGAGACCTTCTGGGACAAGGTTCACGTTCCGCAGGCTTGTCTGATTCCAAAACTTGGGCTTCAGAATTTTGAAATCCACTGGGATTCAGAGAGAGAGAGAGAGAGAGAGAGAGAGAGAGAGAGAGAGAGAGAGAAACATGGAAACTATGGACCATCTGTTGCGTGAGACAAAGGAGTGGATTTTAAACCCTCACGTTTTCTGTTTCCTGCTTTCCCAGTAGGCACTGTCGTCACACATCATTTTCCAGCCGGTCCCTCGTGGAACGTGTCCTTCACCTCTCAGACCCAAGCGGGCGGCGGCCAGGCCTGGGCCCCCGTGGCTGTTCGGTACCAGATGCAGCGTACGATCCCTTTCTGGTTCTAGACTCATTCGTCAGTCAGGATCAGCGAGGGCCCCGCAAAGTGCCGGACTCTGTGCTGAGCTCTCCTGAGATCTGCATTTGCCCTCGAGCCAGCTCTGTGTTCCCTGCACTTTGCTGTGGGGCTTTCTAGAAAGCACACACATGGAGGCTTCAGCCTGAAGCTACGGGGCGGGTGAGGGTGCAGAACCCTCTGGGAGCCCCGGCCCCGTACCAGTCGAGGAGATGTTTCGAGGAGGGGGTTGGCCCCGTCACTTTAGGACTTCTCTGGCCTTTGAACTGGGGCTGCCTACGTGTCAGCGGGCTCAGGACCCTACCCTCTGGCCAGACTGTGTGGGAGGTGAGAGTGCCAGGGTCCCTGGACGCACCAAAACATCTGTGCCCCCTCACGTTCACAGCCGTCTCTGTCTACACTAATGGAACCGTGTTTGCCACCGACACCGACATCACCTTTCTGGCTGTCACCGAGGAGACCACCCCCCTGGAGTTCTTGTGGGGCTTTGGAGAAGGCCCAGCCGTGAGGACGACTTCCAGGAGCGTTAAGAAAAGGCTCCGCGTCCCCCAGTGGTCAGTGAGTGGGCGTCACGACCGGGGCAGGCGGTGGCGTGGCCGTGGCTCAGTGCACAGATCTCCCCGCCACGACCCCCAGCTGCATGCGTGCTCAGTGCCACATGCGCGTCCACAAATGGGACTCAAACATACATTTGTTTATTCATTTTAACCTTTCATTTTTTTAAGCGTATATGTTTTGAGAGAGACAGTGTGAGCGGGAGAGGGGCAGAGAGAGATGGGTGGGGGGGATCCCAAGGAGGCTCTGAGCTGTCAGCACAGAGCCCAACTTGGAACTCGATCCCACAAACTGAGATCATGACCTAAGCCAAAATCAACACTTGGACGCTTAACTTACGGGGCCACCAGGCAACCCTCAAATGGGAATTTAGGAAAAGGAGAGGCCCCTTCCCTACCCCTTGAACTGGGGCACCTGTGGGGCTTTGGAATCAGACGACCCTGGATTCAGATCCCATCCCCCCACCTGGTGAATTCCCCTCCAAGGAGGGGTCCCAGTGCAGACCCCACGCTCTGGAGGTGACGGACACGATGACTGAGGGCTGGGCCCCCTGTGAGCGGGAAGGCCCTGCAGAAGATCATGCCCGTCCCTGGCTTTCCGGCCGTGACACAGGGGTCCTCTGCCTCTGACCCATTCCCGTTCCTGTTTCCCCCCGCCCACCCCCACCGCCTCCTCGGTCCCCGCCCCCGCAGGTACAGCGTGACGGTACAGGCTTCCAGCAGGCTGGGCAGGGTGGCCTCAGAGCCCCACCGCATCAGGACGCAGAGGAGAATCGTGGCCAATCGGCTCATGTCCCCGTCCTCAGCTCTGCTCAACGCCAGCGTGACCTTCGAGTGCAGACTCAACTTCGGCAGCGACGTGGCTTTCCTGTGGGACTTTGGGGACGGCACCGTGGGCCCCGGGGGCAGCTCCGCCAGCCACAGCTATGGCAGGTGAGCGGCGCGGGTGCAGGCGGGGCCCCACACACGGCCGCGGGAACGTAAGCTTCTCCTAACCGACTCCGCAATGCATGCAGCTGGCGCATACGTGTGAACCCGGCTGCTCTCCGGAGCTCCCGATCTGGGGACGGCAGGACAAAGACAGGTAGTCTCGGCCCCAGGAGGCCCAGATGGGGCGGTGGGATGAGGGGTGGGGGCCAGACGAAGGTAGAAGGGGCTCGGAAGACTGCGAAGGGCCGCTCTGTCTTCCTAAGGGGCTTGGGCTGTGTCCTTTCATTATTTGTCGGGCACCGACTGTTTACCTGGAGGGAGACATTCAGCTAGGCCTGCCCGGGGAGGTGGGCATGCTAACGGGAAGCCACCTTCAAGGTCAGGAGAGGGCAAAGCACAGGCCACCCAGGTCCGAGTCTGGGCCTCCCCGCTGGGGACTGGTCCTGGACCACAGCGGCATGTCCCATACTGGGTGCCCGGAGGCTGCGATGTGGAGCCCCCCAGCTGGAGCTGAGCCTTGGGCTGGTTAGGGACGTAGCAGAGTGCACACAAGTGCCCGGAAACATGGCCCATGTGGCTGGCAGCCACAGGGAAAGCTGGCAGACACCCCGCAGTGCAGGACGTCCTCGGGAGTTTTGTGGCCGTGCCACGCCTGGGGACATGTCTGAGTGACCCCGTCACGGCTCCCAGTCTGCGTTCTCTCCGCTGGAGGTGGGTCTTCACAGAAGGACAGGGTTGAGAGATAGTGCCCAGCATGGCTCCCTCAGGTGGGCCCCTGGGCCCGGGACCCGGGGTCGTGCTCTGTGGTGCGGGGAACGGACACTGCATCTCTGGGGTGTCCCAGGGCTGCCCACGCCCCTGGAGCCGGGATAGACCTCAGGGAGCAGAGCAGCGAGGTCACGCCCAGGCATCCCGGTCGAGGGTCCGGGCCATGTGGCGCAGAGGACCACCCGTGGTGCACGGAGGGGCCAGGCCGCAGCTGCGGGAGGCGTCCCCACGTGAGCGGTCACTTCTCTGTCCGTCTGGGAGCTGGCCGGCTGGCTCGCCCGCACTGGGCCGGCAGCAGGTGGCCCCGTGAGCGCCGGCCTCGTGACCCGAGTGTCCTCCGTCCCCACTGGTGGGCTGTCTGACCGTCGAGTCCTATGATCGCTAGGTGGCGGGTGTCCCGGAGGAGGAGGGACAGACGGACGGGCCCAGTCGCTTCATTCTGTGCGTTGTGGCCCTTCCAGGGAAGGGGAGTTTACCGTCCAGGTGCTCGCCTTCAACGACGTCAGTGCCGCCTCCCTGAGAAAGCAACTTTTCGTGGTCCGTGAGCCGTGCCAGCCGCCCCCGGTGAAGAATATGGGGCCACGGAAGGTGCAGGTAGGGCCGGGCCGGGCGCCACGGGGCTTCGGGGGGCTTTGTGCAGCTGGCCCTCTGCACCCAGTGCCAGGGGGCACCTCTGAGGGCTTCTGAGCCTGGGGCGGAGGCAGAGGAGGCCTCACTGGGGCCCAGAATGGGCCTTTGTCCACCCCCTTACGCTGGTGTTCAGCGCGGCCTGCTCTGTGAAGCTCCGGAAAGTGCTGGTGCAGAGCCCGTGAGCCTTGTCAGGAGACGGGGATGTCCGGATACAGGCCTCAGTGCCCACAGCCTCCACCAGTCCTTTCCTGAGCGCCGGCTGCGGGCTGGGAAGGGCAGGGCCGCTGTTCACTGCTCGTGTGCCCTCGAGGCCTCTGGTGGGGAGCGGGTTTCCCCTCTCAGGGCACAAGTGTCCAGTGACACACGGAATGAAAGCCCACGGCTCGCTGCACTTGCCCCGATGCGTCCAGTGGTTTTCCTGCACTGAGGCCGTTGCTTGGACCGCTGACCAGGAGGTCTTGGGTCGCAGACCTCCCGCTCCAGATGAGGCAGCAGGGCTCGGGGGGCACACAGAGTGGTTCCTGGCCGGGTGTGCCCTGCGGGACAGTGACGGCCCCTAGCTGGCTGGACCCAGGCACCCGTGCGGCCAGCACGCACCCACGAGGTCAGCAGTCTGCTCAGGCAGTGGGCTCTCTGGGGAGGGGGGGGACAGACAGAAGGTCAGGGGGGACCCCTAACATGGAGATTAGGAGTGAGGGACCCCCGGAACCGGAGACAGAGGTCCGCACTTAAATCCTGACTCTGCTCTTAGGTGGAGCCACCGACCGGGGCTTTTCCCTGATTCAACACTGTCGAGTTCAGTCCCTGCCGTGTGGCTCAAAGTGTGTATTGACTGTGTGGCCTGGGGTTTTCTTTTCTGAGTAAGCTCTGCACCCGGTGTGGGGCGCAAACTCACAACCCTGAGACCCAGAGCTATGTGCTCTCCTGACTGAGCCAGAGGCGCCCCCGGGGTTATTTTCTCAAATGAGAATACTCAAGTTTTTTTTATTTTTAAAATAAAACAACACTGACGAGTCCGTTTTTTTCCATCGTAGTTTAGTCTTACACACATTTTCTAAAAGTATGAAAAAGGGAGAATCACCTGAAATGCATCAGGAGAATGCCTCCGTCCCTGGACACAAGGAAGGTCAAAAGTCAAATTCCAGTTATAACAAATGCCGATGTTTCCGTGTTTCGTTTTTAATTTTTTTAGAGAGAGCGCTAGCACGTGGGAGAGGGGCGGGGAGGGAGGGAGAGAGAATCCTAAGCAGGTTCCTCACTGTCCACACAGAGCCTGATGTAGGGCTCAAACTCAAGAGCTGTGAGACCGTGGCCTGAGCAGAGATGAAGAAACAGGTGCTTAACCCGCTGAGCCACCCAGGTGCCCCTAATATGTCTTGTTTTTAAACAATACTGGGGCACCTGGGTGGCTCACTCAGTTAAACATCTGACTTTGGCTCAGGTCATGATCTTGCAGTTTCTGAGTTCGAGTCCCAGCTGACAGCTCAGAGCCTGGAGCTGCTTCAGATTCTGTGTCTCACTCTCTCTCTGCCCCTCCCCTGCTCGCGCTCTGTCTATCTCTCTCTCAAAAATAAACATTTTTAAAAGTTTTAAACAGTACTAACTTTGATGTATTTTGCAAATGCATTTCTTTTCTGTGTTGATTTCTTTTTGAAATTATATTTGACTGTTAAGTTTATATTTCTATGGAATCAAATCTATTCACTTTTTCCCATTTGTATTTTCCCATTTTATGCTTACAAGGAGTTTTCTCTCAAGAGTATGTAAGTATAAATATTCACGTATTTTTTTCTCCTTGTTTTTATATACTGACATGTGATGCTGTCTGCAGGAAGAATGTATGTTTGTGTCCGTGTTTTATATTTCAGCAGTAAGGATCCCACCCCATGGTTATGGAAACGGATCATTGGTGCGTGATGTTGGGAATAAGTTGTGACACTCCTCTGTGGCATCAGGCATGCCGGACGTTTCGAGACTCTTTCTCTTTAACCCACAGGTGTGGAGATCTCAGCCCGTGAACCTGGGCGTGACGTTCGAGTCTGCAATCCTCTGTGACATCTCCCAAGGCCTCTCCTACACCTGGACCTTCTGGAACTCGCAGGGGGCGCGGGTGCCTCTGCCCCCGGCTGTGAGCACTCACAGGCGGACCCTCACCGTCCCCGGCTACTTCCTGCAGCCCGGCAACTATACTGCGCTTGCCAAGGTGGGTGACTGGCCAACGTGCTTCCCGCTGCCTCTGTGTGGGAACCCTGACCTGTCACCTCAGCCGGCTGTCCAGGAAACGGAGGGTTGTCCAAACAAGTGTGGCTGGGATCTCGAGAAGTGCTTGATTCCTTCCAGACACCAAATTTTGTGTCCAGACGCAGGCAGGGTGATGGTGAGAGTGTCCTTATTCATTTAGCAACAGCTTCCCGTGCACCTGCTTTGACCACGTCACCAAGGTCTTCCCGGGATGTTAAAGGTGTATTTGTGTCCTCATCAAGGGCCCCGCCACCCGGAAAGGGAGGGCACGTTGGTCAGAGAGCAGGGCCACCAGGGCACCCTGGTGACCAGGCTGCTGCTGGTACTTGCTGCGTTTTGGCTGGAAAAATGGTGACGATCAGTCACGGTCTCTTCTAGAAGACTTGGCTTCTTGGGACAGAGTCTGTTTGTGGGCCCAGGACGTGGGGGGAGGGGGTCAGCAAGACCCTGCGGGGGCGCAGGGTCAGGGCAGGCGGGGAGCAGAGCTGCAGAGGGGTCTGGGGTCTGCCTGGCAGGCGTGACGGCTGGACTTGGGAGTGCCGCCCCAGCTCCGCAAGGAGGGGCTTCGTTCCTTCCCCTGGGACCCGCGGGCCTCCCTGTGCACGGGGACCAGCACGCACACGGGAGCAGTGACGGTGCGCCCGCGTGTCACCGCCGCACCACCGTCAGGGTCTCCAGATGCTTCCTCACCACGTCTGTGCTGCACCCACCCTGCCCCAGGCCCCTGCCCGGGGCCGGGTGAAGGCTGCAGCCCACGGGGAAGGTCAGAGCCAGTGGAGTGGCAGCCACACTCTACTTCAGAAATATTAACTGGGGAAGAGTTGGGCGTAGACTGAAGGATAGGACTTCACTACTGAATGCTCTCTGGAACGTTCTGTTACTCCAGAGCGCTCTAATGGTGAACTCCGAGGCAACGAGAGGCTGAAACGGCACATGGCGGGGGGCAGAAGGGTGGAACAGCTGAATGCAGGTGGATTTACGGCCAGTCACCTGCCCTGGTTACTGGCAAAAGTGGAATGGAAAATTCAAAGAAAGGTCAAGACCGAGCACATGGAGGACAGTGAGAGTGCTCCCCATTTCCCTCAGAGAACAGAGTGTATTCGGGGCCTCTGAGCAGCCAGGACAGGCGCAGGAGGGAGGAGGCCCGGCAGGCAGCCCCTGTGCTTTGGGGATGGGATGGGGGAAGGAGCTGGAAATGGACGCAAGGTTTGGTGTGTCTATAATCAGCATCATAAGGATCTATTTTACCAGTTTGACTTAGGTTTAATTTTTTTTTTTAATGTTTTATTTATTTCTAGGAAAGACAGAGAGACAGCGTGAGCAGGGGAGGGTCAGAGAGAGAGGGAGTCAGAGACTGAAACAGGCTCCGAGCCGGCAGTCAGCACAGAGCCCGACGCGGGGCTCGAACCCACGAACCGCGAGATCATGACCTAAGCGAAAGTCGGACGCCCAACTGACTAAGCCACCCAGGCGCCCCTAGGTTTAATTTTTAAATAGTGGAAACGTTTTATTAGTAATGCTCCTTTTTGTTAATGTTTGTTTATTTTTGAGAGAGAGAGAGAGAGACAGAGCACAAGTGGGAGAGGGGCAGAGAGAGGGGAGACAGAATCGGAAGCAGGCTCCAGGCTGTCAGCACAGAGCCCGACGCGGGCTCAGTCCCACGAGCTGAGAGATCATGACCTGAGCCAAAATCGAATGCTGGACTGACTGAGCCCCCAGGAGCCCCAGTTTTAGTCCTAAAATCACTTGTTCCTGAAATGGTCTGTATTTTTTCTTGGTTTAACGCGCCTCAAAATCTTTACCGCCCGCTGTCACGTGGACAGGACCAAGCAGGCGCTCTGGTTCTGTGACCGGTCCTGGGGCCTCCTTGTCACTGAGGCTGCCAGGAGTGACTCCTAGGAGGGTAGGTTCCAGCTGGATGGACGTGGCCCAGAGCAGGCCGGATGGGGTCACGGTGGGGGCTGTGTGACCAGCCCCACCACCCCGTGGGCGGAGGAGAATCCCCAAGACAGGTGGCCCGGCCCCCTGCCCACGGGGCCCGGAGGGGACGTCAGTCTCCCTGCGCTCTGGCCCCCAACTTGGTAGACTGCAGGTGCCGTTGTCAGTGTGTTAGAAATGGTCGTCCTCGCAGAGACTGGTTCACACTGTGTAAGGTCACGGGTCCGTGCTCCGTGTCCTGGCAAAATGAGAAACGGATCGGGCCGCGTGGCCATGGCTTCCCTCTCCGTCCAGCAGCTCTGAGCTAACACATGCAGGTGGGGAAGGTGCGCAAAGACGGGCATCGAAGCGATTGAGGAGACCAAGTGCTGGTAGCCTGGTGTGCCCAGTGCTGTGACAGTCCCTTTTCCCCAGGCTCTGGACAGTGGGGTCACTGGCGCCCTCCCCTGCCCATGTGGGAAGGGTCAAGGTTGAGGTCCACGCCTCAGGGCTCAGTGGCCCTGCTGGTTGACACACTTACTCATCAGCCGCGGCCCTGGCCTTGAGTGGGCTCCGGACGTGTCTTTCTCTGAGTTGTGGAGACCCGACTTGGGGAGGTACTGATGTCTGAGCTCGTGTCATCACGTCGCCTTTGGAGGTCGCTCTCTCGGGAGTCCAGACCTCCTGCCACCACTGCCCTGACAGGTGCCCCCACCCTGCACGCCCCCGTGCCTGGACACTCCTGATGGCTCATGGGCGGAGGAGCTGGGCAGGCAGATGGGAATCGGGCGTGCAAGTGTACTCAGAGTCGGTGGGTCGCTCTCGAGAAAACCACCAGCAGAGAACTTTCTGAAGATGGTCACCGAGCACCAAGGCCAGGACCCAAAGCGCAGCGAGCGTGAGGCTGTGCTTCTTCTTTTCAAGTTGCATCAAACTTCTAAAAGAAAAGTTTCGAACGCCTTATTTATAAACTGTTCCACATTCCATTTTTTACAATTTTTTTTCTTTTCAATTTTTATTTGGTTTTGAAAGAGACAGAGCATGAACAGGGAGGGTCAGAGAGAGAGGGGGCCACAGACTCTAAAGCAGCTCCAGACTCTGAGCTGGCAGCACGGAGCCCGACACGGGGCTCGAACCCGCGAACCGTGAAACCACGACCTGAGCTGAAGTCAGACGCTTAACTGACCAAACCACCCAGGTGCCCCAAACTGTTCCATATTCCTGAGTTGAGAAATACTCGTCTGAGTTCATTTCCGTTGCTTCCAGACCACCAAGCACACGGGGTAGAAATGTAGTTTGAAGGAAGTCCGCTAACAACGTCCAAGACCACGGACGGACGAACAGACTCCCTGTCCGTGGAGCAGGCTGGGCGTCTGGGCCCTGAGACGGGGCTGTGTTACAGACGATGTTGCTCTGTCCCAGACCCAGAGTCCCAGCTCCGTGTGCCCTCCAGACGCGGTGAGCAAGTGCCCCTCCCCTGACCGGCTCCAGCCACTTGGCTTCCCCTGGGCACACAGTAGGCTGTTTGCCCGGCGAAGGTGCCCGGCTGGGGCTGAAAACATCAGAGCCTCTCGATGCAGCGCTCGGAGCTGCCGTTGGAGCCGGTGGCGCATTTAGACCCTCCAGTCTCCTTCCAGGGTCAGAGGAGTGTCCGCCCAGGCGGGCGTCCAGCCCAGTCCCCCGGGTGACGCCCCCTTGTCTCTGGTGTTCCAGGTCCGGGTGGAGGGCAGCATCGTGCACAGCACCTACCGCGTGGGGGTGGAGGTGCGAGCCCGGGCCCCCGTCAGCGTCATCTCCGAGGGCACGCACCTGTTCATCTCCAGAGCCCCCTCGTTCACCATCCTCCTCAGGGGGTCCCAGTCCTACGACCCAGACAGTCCTGGGGCTGTTCTCAGGTGAGCCCGGGGGCTGCGTGACCGTGCGTGCTGGGCGCAGCCCCCCGCCCCCCTCCAAGCCCAGGCCCGGAAGCGTTGGGAGAGGCGGCCCTGGAACCCCGCAACATCATCTCAACAGCCACATGCCTCCACTCCTGTGAGTGGAACCGAGGTTTCCTCAGGGTCATAACATCAGGGATTTGGGGAAGGCCTGGCACTAAGCACCTGAGCCGCTTTGTAAGTGGGTGTTTTGGACAATGACGTTAAATACCGTCCGTCCATTCCGGCTGCCGTAACAACCACGACAGACTGCGTCGTCTATACCACACATTTCCTCTGTCCCCTCTGCACACCAGGAGGCCCGGACCAGGGTGCTGGCCGGCTCCGTGTCCGGGAGGACCGGCTTCCTGGTTCGGAGCTGGTGTCCTCAGAGGGTGAAGGGGTCCGGGGCTCCCTGGGGACTGTGTTACAGTCATGACCTAATCCCCGCCATGGGCCCCCCTCACACCTCACACCATCACCCTGGGTGTCAGAGACACAAACGTCTGTCCTCAGCAACTGTGTTACTTTGTTACTAAAATTCTTCCTTTGGTGTTTGGGGAGCTTGATCTCCGAGTCTTTCACATCCCTTACTATTGGGGGTGTGGCTCAGGCCTGGTGCCCTTGACCGTCCACACACCCTTCCTGGTGGCCTCACCCAGTTTCCTGATGTGGACACCAGCCCCGGTCACCCCGAGCGTGCACCCTCCACGGACCCCGTCCACCTCCTCCACCCCGACCACTGCGGGGCCCAGGCTTGCTGTGCGCCCCCCCGGCCGGGCCCTCGTGGCCTTCCCACCTGCTGAGGGAAGGGCCCCTCCTGTTACTGAGGCTGAAGCTGCAGCAGCAGTGGCCTCTCTTCCTCCCCCCTCGCGGCCCATCCATCAGGAAACCCTGCTCCTCTGTCCACTGCAAGCGGCACCAGGGAGGCCTCCGAGGACCCCTTCCAAAGAGATGACGGTCCCATCCCGACACTGCACCTTGTCCCTGTGACATCAGAGACCCCCTCCCCAGCTGCCGTCACTGTCAGCGGCTGACCCCGCTGGAACGGGCGCTCAAAGAGGGCAGGGCTGTGGCTGGGCGTATCCCTTGGGCCTGGCACGCAGTAGGGACTCCACGAGTGCTCCTGGATACCCAGCGTGACATGCACGTGCTCTGGACAAAGCACGCTGCAGGTCTCCTCCCTCCTGCGCCGCGGCCTCGGGACAGTGGGGTCTTGGTCACACTGCACCCCCAGCCCGTTTGTTTGCTGAGATGGGCTGAGTCTGCCCCCTGCAGACCCGGGTATCATGAGTGCAGAGCGCTGAGCACGGGGCAGCGCCTGGTGCTCATGTCCAGGCCCAGGAAGCCAGGTGAGCACCTGGCGGGACCACTCCCGCTTTGGACCCCCACCCTCCCTGCATCAGCGCGCCAGGGAAACCTCGCATCCCCCTGCCCACCCGCTCCCCTGGGCCCCGGGACAGCCCACCGAGTGACCCGGGGTGGCCACCTGACGGGCCGGAGCAGGTGCGGTCAGCGCCATGGTGGCCTCTCCCACAGGTATCACTGGAAATGCACCGCAGCCAGCACCCCCGGGCACCCCTGCTTCACCGCCTCCTCTCCACACGGCCTGGAAGCCGGGGCCCCCGCCCTTTCCTTCCCCGCGGGCTCTCTGAGCAACTGCTGTGACCAGTTCCTCATGACACTGACGGTGTCCAGCGGCGGCCGGAACTCTTCAGAGGCACAGGTGTTCCTGTCCACTCGCCCCGACCCGGCGCTCAGGTGCGTCCTGCCCCGAGCTCCCACCATGCAGGCCCCAGGGGGCACCCTTCCGTGCCCTGCCCTGCTGGGAGCCAGGACCCCAGGGAATCCCTGCTGCCCAGGAGAAACGGGGCTCACTGGGGAGGGCTGGGGGACCCCACGGTCCACTGGCGCCAAGGCAGAGCCCGCCAGGCTATTGCGGACACCTGGGGATCCAAGCAGGAAGGCCCCACGTCCGGGCTCGGGGCCGAGCCTAGAAGGAGGCTAGGGGGCTCCAGGCAGGAGGGCCCCGTGTCCGGGACTCGGGGCTGAGACTGGAAGGAGGTTAGGACGTCCCAGGGCCTCTGCCCAGGGCCTTCGGGGCCTTGCCAGGCCAGGCCAGGTGACCGCGTGGGGGCAGTGCAGGTGAAGGAGCAGAGAGATGCTGTGACCACGGGGGCCACACTGGTACCTGAGTGAGGGCCCCACTCAGCGCCAGGACCACAGAGGCGGGCGTGCCCTGCTTCCGCTTCAGTCAACCTCCCCGGGTCTGGGTAGTTGCTATTGTCACATGTGGAAACACATGTGGTGAGAAGTGTGGGTAGCAGGGCAGGTTCTGGAAGGCTTCTTGGAGGAGGAAGCAAATTGCCTGGCAGGACTAACACAAAGGAGAGGATGTGAGCCGTGGCACCAAGGTCAGGCCGACTACCATGATAGGCGCCCACCCCCCCCGAGGGGTTCAGGTTCAAAGCCGTGAGAAATAAGTGTCAGCAGAAGGGAGTGGGCCCTTCTCCGAGGTCCACACAGACCCAGGCTGCCTGCCTTGTTTTCCAGTCGTGATATGTGATAAAGGTGAAGGAAGGGGGGTGCCCGGTGGGGTCAGTCAGCGGAGCACGTGACTCCAGATCTCTGGGTTGTGAGTTCAAGGCCCACGTTGGGTGTGGAGCCTACTTAAAAAAAATTCTTTAGGTGAAGGAATGCCAGGATTGTAAACCTCGGGCCGTCTTTTAAATTATGCTAATAAATTAGACGCTTGTATTTTAAACATACAGTGTACTATATGATGCTGCTACTCCAAGATGAAGAATTTATTTGGGGACCCTCACCATGTTCTGTCAGTCCCGTCAGGCATTACCCGGGCCCCTGTGGACCCCGTCCCTGGGCAGCCTGGGGCCTGATGGGCCTCCCAAGCCCACGTCCGCCCCGTCCCTACCCCGCAGGCACCCGCCCGCCGTGCGTGGAGAGAGACGTGACCACTTACATGCAGGTGCACATAGGCACACACACGGGGACAGCCTGGCCTGAGGCCCCTCGAGGAGGCTGCGTGGCCCTGCGTGCTGTGCTCCCGCCACCCGAGTCACCTGCGCTGGGGGCCGTGTGCAGGGGCTGTGGTCTGACACGTGGGGAACGCCGGCACAGCATACATGCTGGGTGGGGGGGTCTCTCCACCTTGGCCTCCTGAGGGCCCCCGAGTCGAGTCCCACAGGACAGAAACCAGTCACATCAGGCTCAGGGTGGCAATCCCTAACCACCTGTAACATCCTAAGGAACAGTGTTCCTCAAGGCGTGTGTTGGTGGGTGCTGGTCGGCGGAGGAGCCTGGGGAAGGAGTTTGGGGGCTGTGGGGCCACAGGCCAGGGTGCCTGCCCCAAGCTGTGTGACCTGGAGGGATCACCCACCCTCTCTGAGCTCAGTGAATTTGCCTCCTGGGACCCACCCACATCATCAGGTCGAGCTGGGTGGAGCTGGGTGTGGGCTCGGCCGCTCTGGAGGTCCTTTACCTGAAACCTCCAAACCGCTTTGCACGTCAGATTCGTCCACATCTCCTGGGTCAACTTCAGAGACGTCTTCGTCAACTGGAACGAAGAACTTTGTCTGGAGGCTGAGTGCGAAGGCTGCGGCGAGGTGTCTGGGCTTTCCTACTCCTGGGACCTCTTCCTAGTCAACGCGACAGAAGGGACTGTTGTGGAAGGTGAGCTCACTGCCTCTCTGTCTGTTAACCGGGGCGGGACGCGGGGATCACAGCCCGCTGGCCAGGGCGGGACGCAGGGATCACAGCCTGCTGGCCAGGGCGGGACGCAGGGATCACAGCCTGCTGGCCAGGGGCGGGACGCGGGGCCTCACAGCCCGGCCAGGGTGGGACGCGGAGATCACAGCCCGCTGGCCAGGGCGGGACGCGGGGATCACAGCC